TCGTGCAGAGCTTCAGTGATGGATGGCTCCCCCCACCTCCCTAGCCTCTGCCCCTCGCTGCAGGAAGGGCCCCTTTCTGCAAACTCTCAAGGGCTGGCTACTCTCCCCCTGGCATCTCGGACTTCCTCTGCAGCTCCGACCTTGATTCTCTGTGCCAGGAGGAGCATGGAGCATGGTCCCAGCCATCCTGGGTGGCGGCCACTTGACTCCACTCGGTCAAGGTGCGTCTGAGGCTGTGTTGTCAAGGCTGCAGACTCAGCCCGCAGAATTGACCCAGTGTGGCCACGTGAGCTTGGGGTCACCTGATTCTTTCTTCCACTGATATATCCTGAAGCCCAGTTAATGTTCTTTTTTACTACCTAATTGAGTTTTTATCGAAGTTTCTCCCCACTTTTATGCTTATTTTTGTTCTCTTCCTGCAGCCGACAGCAGAAGACCCATATAACCCATTTCCTATCAGCCCTTTTTGAGGATTAGTCATTTTTAAATGACTGCAATTTCCTTTTTGAAAGTGATTTTTATACTCATTTTGTTCTGTTTCTTTAGCTGTACTTACTCTAGGTGAAAAGGGGAAGCCGAGGATCTGATATTAGTCACTGGGTTTCCCTCTTGATCTTCTGCTGTGACCATACCCTCTCCCAAAAGATAGAAGCAGAGTAGCATGGTGGATCAAAGAGTCGGACACAACTGAGTGACTGAGCACACACACACACAGCCTGGTGGGCGAAAGCACCGCCTCAGAACCAACTAACTAGGTTTGAATCCTGGCTCTCCTGCCTGCAAGCTGTGTGGCTTTAGGTAAGTTACTCAGCCTCTCTGTGCTTCAGTTTTCTCACATGAACAGGGAAATAATAATAGTAGTGCCTATCTCATTGGGCTATTGAGAGGACTGAATGAGTTAAAAGAACGCCTGGCACATAGTAGAATTTATCAAAGCATTTACTTGGGAATGAAAAGGTGGCTGGGACAGCTGGTCTTTCCTTGAATTTACCTTCTTCCTGAGTTCTGAAATGTTCAAGTTGAGGGGGATCTCGGGATTGCCTTCACCCTGTTTCTGTCCCCCCCCCCCCCCTCCCCTTCTGCAGTCTACCCAAGGGCGTGTGCTGCACTGGTTTCATTTGTGTGATGATTAACAGCACAAGGGGAGCATTGCTGCTGTAAGGACCCCCCTTCTGCTGACCCCTCCCCTGCGCATCCATCCTGAGTGTGCTGCCCCTGGTCCTCTCTCCAGCCTGCTCCTAGAACAGCAAGCTAAGTGCCCCTCACACAAAATGCATCTGGAGGGATGGGACGGATGGCAGCAGCCAAGGTTAAATGTTGTGAGAGTAAAAGGCTTTGAACAGGGCAATCTGAGTTGGGTCTTTTATTTGTCAACATGCCCATTTCCCCTGATTGGGCTTTTTCAGTTTAAGGAGCCTTATTTCAATTCAGATGATTATAATCTCAGCAGTTGCTCAGTTTGTTGCTCCCAAAATAATGTGCTTTGCTGTAGTTTAGAGACTTGTTTACAGAAAAATAAAGCCAGCCGGGCAGCTCTGTGATGAACCTCAGGGGGCTGTGGTGCTGGGGCAGGTTGACCCTCGTTTTCAAAGACTGGGTGGATGAGGGGGTGCAGGGGAGAGTAGACCCCAAGATCCTGGCCACACACCGCTGAGGCCTCCGGCTGTGTGACTGAAGGCAAGTTACTTACCTCTCTGAGTCTCAGCCTCCTCATCTCAAAAATGGGATGTTACCGATGGGAGGATGAAAGGAGAGTATTAATTGCGGTAATAGAAGCACTTAGCTCAGTGCTGGCACTCGGGACATGCTCACTAAACGTAGCTGCTAATTTTATTAGCACTAGTGGTACTCATTAGTGCTAATTATGATTATTGGCCAAATAGCGCTTTTGTTTATCAGCTTTATTGAAGTATAATTTGCATACCCTAACACTCCCTTGTTTTAAGTGAGCAGTTCAGTGACGTTTAGTAAATTCACAGAGCTATGCAGCCCTCACCGCAGTCCAGCTCGCAGGCATTTCCATGATCTCTGAAGGACGCCTCTTGCCCATTTGCAGTCAGTCCCTGCTCCCTCCTCTGGCCTCAGGCAATCACTAATCTGCTTTCTGTCTCTACAGATGGGCCTGGTCTGGACAGTTCATGTGAATGGAATGAGTGCTTCTTCACATTAAATTTTCTCATCCACCCCTCACGGCGCAGCTCTGTTTCAGATGTGTGAGCTGACTTAAGAGTTTAGAGGCGCACTCGTGGGGTTACCCGTGAATGCAGGAGCAGGGTTCAAGTGCAGGTGTCTGCTCTCATCCTTGGACACAGTGAATGAAAGACGTGTGCAGGCTTGGTCTTTCGGGTCAGGTGTCTTCCTTGCACCCATGAACTGGCTGGCCTTTGAGCCCGGATCCTCCACTTGTCAGCCAGCTTTGACAGCTCCTGGGCCTCGGGGGCCCCTGCCCACAATGCAGGCAGTGGGCCATCCCGGTGGCCCTGTCGGGGCTCAAAGAAGAGTCACACCGTGACTGCTTGGGAGCTTGTCACAGGGCCCCCTCTCTCCGTCTCACCTACGCAGGTGTCTTGCACGATTGGCCTGTGTCAAGGGGCCTGACAGTGGGCAGGCCTGGCACTGTTCTTCCCTGGGGGGGCCTCACATGGCTGTGCCTCAGTTTCCTCGTCTGTCCAGTGGGAGGGGCCCTGGTCCCCACCTCTTCTGTGCTGGAGACGGCCCTTAGTGCTGCACATCAGAAAGGCTCCATGGCAGCTTGCATGAGTCTGAGCTGAGACATCAAAATAATAAAAAGTCAGGGGAGCCCGGCCAGGGGCGGGGGCAAGCGGGTCCCCCCAGCTGCCCCAGCTCCAGCCATCTCCTCCCTTGGGTCCCTTTGTCTGCACCCCGAGGAGCCAGCTGGCAAGAGCCAGGAATTACCAGGTGGGGGCTGGGGCGCCTCCTGACACATCTAATCCAGGGAGCCGGCAGCGCTGGGTCCTTCCCGTCCGAAGGCCTTGTAACATGAGGCCCCCAGGGGAGCGGGTGCCCTCATTCTGGGAGGCACCTCATGTTGGGCTGGGTGACTGGGCTTTGGGAGCGGGGAGACTGTAGAGAGATCGGGACTCTGGAGAGCAGCATCCTTCTAGGCAGAGCTCTGCCAGCCGTGCCAGCTGGGGTCAGGCACATCTTCACAGGGTCAGGGCCAAGGGCCCGGGGGAGGGCACCAGGGTGGGGGTGGGACCTAGGAGCAGGCTCAGAGCCAGCTCTGAGGGGCCCTGTAAGACCCTCCAGCAGGCCTTGTTGTCTTTTCAAGTCTTGGGATTGGCAGTTGTGAGAGTCTGGGTGGGCAGGGCCCCCAGTCTGAGCCATGCGCCTCCATGATGGTGTGTGTGCTTGTGTCTGCAGGTGAGTGTGTGTATATGTTCAAGCCTGTGTGTGTACGTGGATGTGATAATGTAGGAATGGAGGTGTGTGCGTATGAGAGAGAGAGTACGTGACCATGTGATTGTGTGTTTGTGATGGTGTGTATGACTGTGTGTGAGTGTGTGTGAGTGTGTTGGAGTTCACATGTGAGTTGCAGGCATGCTATATGAGTTGTATGTGTGCATGAGTGTGTTTATGTGTGCAGGCGTGTGAGTGGTGCTTGCCCAGCCTGGGAGTGAGGTCCCCTGCCTTTCCCTTCTAGAAGATCTGGGCTGCCTTTAGCCAAGAATTTCTGGGTTACATCTGTGAGGGCTTTTCTGAAGACTCAACTAGGCTGGCTGGGGGTCGGAGAGGCGGGACAGTGGTCTATTTCCTCGGGGTTAGAAGAGCAAGGTCAGTGCAGCCGAATCTGAGCTTTCGTTTGTCTCTTTCCTGTCCCTAGCAGCCTGCGGTCCCTTTCATTCATTATTAAGTCTTAAATCCACCCAACACGAAACCTGAGCCATGGAACTCACTCCCTGCTCAGGCTGCTTTGGTTCAACCCCTGCCGCATCCCAGGAAACTTCACTGGTTTAAGTTGCTGGGTCCAGTGTCCAGAAACGGCCAACCCCGAGTTGGTTTAGTTTTCCTTTGAGGCTGGCCTGGCCGGCCAAGGCAGGGGGTGGGGGGCTTTGGGGGGGGTGGCCCCTGTCTCTGGGGAGGGTGGGCCATGCCAGTTGTTTGTGCACACCCCCCCCCCCCCCCCGCCACCAGAGTGGATTTAAGGGCCCATGAGGCGCCGAGCTCTGAGGCCATCTGGGTCCTGGCCCCACCTCTGATCACTGCTCCTTCGGGCCATCTCCCGGGGTTCTGAGTGGACGTGGGGAAAATGCAGGGGTGGAGGGGGACAAAGAAGACCCCCGCCCTTGGGATGGTTTGAGCTGGGAGCCCCTCGGCTCCTTCCCAAGCCCCCTACTCCTGTTTGTTCCCTTGGGCCTGGGGCCCTTCCGCCTCTTATATCCATGCGCACCTGAAGCAGCAGTCCCAGCTTTATCAGTCCCCCTTCCCCATGGAATGTAGCATGGTTGAATTCATTAAAAATGCATTTTACTTTCTTGTAAAGTTTTGCCCACGCCCATTGCACCCAGTGGGATTTCCCACCCAGGCTACAGGCTATAGTGGGGAGTCAAGCCCCATGTCTTGATCAGGTGATGGGACTTACCTCGTTTTGGCCTGATGGTCTGTGAGGTCATGTCTGGTGACTTTTTTCCCAGCCCCCCACCCACCCCCCCCCCCCCCCCCGATCAGGGAAGTGGCTGAGACCTCAGCTCCTGTTGGGGGGTGGGTACCACATCCAGCAAGACCCAGGCAGGTGTCGCCGAGGGGGAAGGCACCTCCCCTCTGAATTCTGCCGCCCCTCTGCCACCCCCTCGGCAGATTGGAAGGCCCACATGTCCACACGTTTCCGGCTCCCCCAGACTCCTTCCTCCCACTCCCCCTTAGCAGTTGGCCAGCTGCACAGCCTCAGCCCGCGAGCTGTCGAAAAGCTGGCTCCGTCCTTGTTTCTCGCGGCCCTGGGAATTGCCTCTAATCTTTCTGCCTCCCCACCCCCCCCGCAGATGGTGACGACGACCCACAACTCTCCTGGGTGGCCTCGTCTCCCTCCAGCAAGGATGTTGCGTCACCCACGCAGATGATAGGAGATGGGTGTGACCTGGGTCTGGGTGAAGAGGAAGGGGGCACGGGCCTGCCGTACCCTTGCCAGTTCTGCGACAAGTCCTTCATCCGCCTGAGCTACTTGAAGAGGCACGAGCAGATCCACAGCGACAAGCTGCCTTTCAAGTGTACCTATTGCAGCCGCCTCTTCAAGCACAAGAGGAGCCGTGACCGGCACATCAAGCTGCACACGGGTGACAAGAAGTACCACTGTCACGAGTGCGAGGCGGCCTTCTCCCGCAGCGACCACCTCAAGATCCACCTGAAGACCCACAGCTCCAGCAAGCCCTTCAAGTGCACCGTCTGCAAGCGCGGCTTCTCCTCCACCAGCTCGCTGCAGAGCCACATGCAGGCCCACAAGAAGAACAAGGAGCACCTGGCCAAGTCGGAGAAGGAGGCCAAGAAGGACGACTTCATGTGCGACTACTGCGAGGACACCTTCAGCCAGACGGAGGAGCTGGAGAAGCACGTGCTCACCCGCCACCCGCAGCTCTCCGAGAAGGCCGACCTGCAGTGCATCCACTGCCCCGAGGTCTTCGTCGACGAGAACGCGCTGCTCGCCCACATCCACCAAGCCCACGCCAACCAGAAACACAAGTGCCCCATGTGCCCCGAGCAGTTCTCCTCCGTGGAGGGCGTCTACTGCCACCTGGACAGCCACCGGCAGCCCGATTCCAGCAACCACAGCGTCAGCCCTGACCCCGTGCTGGGCAGTGTGGCCTCTATGAGCAGTGCCACGCCGGACTCCAGCGCCTCTGTGGAGCGAGGCTCCACCCCGGACTCCACCTTGAAGCCGCTGCGGGGCCAGAAGAAGATGCGGGATGATGGGCAGGGCTGGTCCAAGGTGGTCTACAGCTGCCCCTACTGCTCCAAGCGGGACTTCAACAGCCTGGCCGTGCTGGAGATCCACCTGAAGACCATCCATGCGGATAAGCCGCAGCAGAGCCACACGTGTCAGATCTGCCTGGACTCCATGCCTACCCTCTACAACCTCAACGAGCACGTCCGCAAGCTGCACAAGAACCACGCGTACCCCGTGATGCAGTTCGGCAGCATCTCTGCCTTCCACTGCAACTACTGCCCCGAGATGTTCGCTGACATCAACAGCCTGCAGGAGCACATCCGGGTCTCCCACTGCGGCCCCAACGCCAACCCTCCCGACGGCAACAACGCCTTCTTTTGCAACCAGTGCTCTATGGGCTTCCTGACCGAGTCCTCCCTCACGGAGCACATCCAGCAGGCCCACTGCAGTGTGGGCAGCGCCAAGCTGGAGTCCCCGGTCGTGCAGCCCACGCAGTCCTTCATGGAGGTCTACTCCTGCCCCTACTGCACCAACTCGCCCATCTTCGGCTCCATCCTGAAGCTCACCAAGCACATCAAGGAGAACCACAAGAACATCCCGCTGGCCCACAGTAAGAAGTCCAAGGCGGAGCAGAGCCCGGTCTCGTCGGACGTGGAGGTGTCTTCCCCGAAGCGGCAGCGGCTCTCGGCGAGCGCCAACTCCATCTCCAATGGCGAGTACCCGTGCAACCAGTGCGACCTCAAGTTCTCCAACTTCGAGAGCTTCCAGACCCACCTGAAGCTGCACCTGGAGCTGCTGCTGCAGAAGCAGGCGTGCCCCCAGTGCAAGGAGGACTTCGACTCACAGGAGTCCCTGCTGCAGCACCTGACTGTGCACTACATGACCACGTCCACCCACTACGTGTGCGAGAGCTGCGACAAGCAGTTCTCCTCGGTGGACGACCTGCAGAAGCACCTGCTGGACATGCACACCTTCGTGCTCTATCACTGCACCCTGTGTCAGGAGGTCTTCGACTCTAAGGTGTCCATCCAGGTGCATCTGGCGGTGAAGCACAGCAATGAGAAGAAGATGTTCCGCTGCACGGCCTGCAACTGGGACTTCCGCAAGGAGGCCGACCTGCAGGTGCACGTCAAGCACAGCCACCTGGGCAACCCGGCCAGGGCCCACAAGTGCATCTTCTGCGGGGAGACCTTCAGCACCGAGGTGGAGCTGCAGTGCCACATCACCACGCACAGCAAGAAGTACAACTGCAAGTTCTGCAGCAAGGCCTTCCACGCCATCATCCTGCTGGAGAAGCACCTGCGGGAGAAGCACTGCGTGTTCGATGCGGCGGCCGAGAACGGCACGGCCAACGGGGTGCCCCCAGCCGCCGCCAAGAAGGCCGAGCCGGCCGACCTGCCAGGCGTGCTGCTGAAGAACCCGGAGGCGCCCAACAGCCACGAGGCTAGCGAGGACGACGTGGACGCCTCGGAGCCCATGTACGGCTGCGACATCTGCGGGGCGGCCTACACCATGGAGGTGCTACTGCAAAACCACCGGCTGCGGGACCACAACATCCGGCCGGGCGAGGACGACGGCTCGCGGAAGAAGGCTGAGTTCATCAAGGGCAGCCACAAGTGCAACGTGTGCTCGCGGACTTTCTTCTCGGAGAATGGGCTCCGGGAGCACCTGCAGACCCACCGGGGCCCCGCCAAGCACTACATGTGCCCCATCTGCGGCGAGCGTTTCCCCTCGCTGCTGACGCTCACGGAGCACAAGGTGACCCACAGCAAGAGCCTGGACACGGGCACCTGCCGCATCTGCAAGATGCCCCTGCAGAGCGAGGAGGAGTTCATCGAGCACTGCCAGATGCACCCCGACCTGCGCAACTCTCTCACGGGCTTCCGCTGCGTGGTCTGCATGCAGACGGTCACCTCCACGCTGGAGCTCAAGATCCATGGCACCTTCCACATGCAGAAGCTGGCGGGCAGCTCGGCCGCGTCCTCCCCCAACGGCCAGGGGCTGCAGAAGCTCTATAAGTGTGCTCTGTGCCTCAAAGAGTTCCGCAGCAAGCAGGACCTGGTGAAGCTCGACGTCAACGGGCTCCCCTACGGCCTCTGCGCCGGCTGCATGGCCCGCAGCTCCAACGGACAGGTGGGCGGCCTGGCCCCGCCCGAGCCTGCCGACCGGCCCTGCGCCGGCCTCCGCTGCCCCGAGTGCAGCGTCAAGTTTGAGAGCGCGGAGGACCTGGAGAGCCACATGCAGGTGGACCACCGTGACCTCACCCCGGAGACCAGTGGGCCCCGGAAAGGCGCCCAGACGTCGCCAGTGCCCCGGGTAAGTACAGCCCGCCCCAGCCTGCCCCATCCCCGCTCCCTGGAGCTCCGCGCATGCCCACAAGAGGCCGCTTGCCAGGCTCTGCATTTCCCTTCTAGTCCTGACTGGAAAAGCAGGGCCCTCATCCAGCGGTTAAGCACATCTGATGATCGCAGTAGATTCCCCGTTCAAATCCATGCCATCCCTTCCAGCCGGACTTGGCATGTATCACCCTGGGTCTCATTTGCCAAGTGCTCATCTGTAAAATGGGAATAATAATTGTCGCGACGCCATAGAATTGTTGTGAGGGACCCGTGGCATAGTGTAGGTGAAGGGCTGACACAGTGAGTGCTCTGTCAGTGTTGGAGGTCAGGTCATCTCGGTCATTGATCAGGGGGTGGACTTACTGGGTCTTCTTGGGCAAGTCACTCTGTTCTTTGGGCTTTAGATTTAGGAATCCTTTGACAATTTGTAAAGGTAACATACACATAAAGGACTTGGGACTTGTCAGTTAGGGCCCCGTCATGCTAGCTAGTAATCAACTGGTACTATTATCATCAACAGTATCATTAGGGCTGGTACATGGAAGCCCTCGGAATGTTTCCAGTTACTGATTGATCGATCACATTTGTCCTGAGCACCATTTATTTTGGGAATGTCTGGCAGCCAAGCAGAGCTAGAAACAGACCCTGCACTGGGGCTGCTAGACCCAGGGGAGCCACATGCCTATAACCAGTGGGTTTCAGCGAGGCAGGGGAAGTCTGAGCTACTAGAGGGTCCATGTGGGCCCTGGGAATGCTGACTGTGGGGCGCCTGCTGGAGTCTGTGTGGCCCCTGGTGTCAGACAGAGCAGGCCCGGGGACTCCCATCAAGTCTGTGTTATCTGTTTCCAGACCGAGGAGGTGCCAAGCCGATCTTGGGGGCATCTGTCCCTCGAGGGCCACTGCTGGCCCTGCTGGCAGGGAGGCAGGCTTTGGGAAAGGGCCACCTGCCACGGGTGCCCCTGGAAGACAGGGATGTTTGTGAAGGTGTTCACTGCGGGATCAGATGGGGGCCTGGGACTCCGGGATTTTGCTGGGGGTGGGGGTAGTGGAGAGAGAGTGAGAGAGAAGGAGGGCTGGAGAGTCTGAAGGGAGAATCCAGTGTGGGGCCCTTAAAGGGTCTCCTGCCTAGCTTTCCTGCCCAGCGAGCTGCACGGCCTGACCAAAGTCACCCAGCTGCGGAGAAAAATGTCTGAATGAGAACAGAGCCATGCTTTCACCTGGGGCCTGAGGCCTCTCAAATGCCTGCCTGGAGCAGAGAGCTCCTTTCAGAGTTGATTGATTGATTGACTTTGTCCTGAGCACCCATTATTTCTGGGGTGCCTGGCAAACCAAGGAGAGTCAGAGATGGATCACTTTCTCAAGGCCTTTTGACTGAGCAAGGCCTCTAGGTAAGGATCCACTGGGTCACCCTTCAGGGCTCCTGAGCGCAGTGCACTCACCGCTGCCCAGCTCTGCCCCCCAAGCCTCAGCTTGCTGGCCGGCCAGTGTGGGTGGACTGGGGAGAGGCCCTGGAGGTGGAGGGCCTGCCTACCCACTACCCAGCTGTGATTTGACCTCTTTGGGCCTCTGTCTTCACCTGTAAGCCAGTGCGTGCTAAGTTGCCTCAGTCGTGTACGACTCTTTGCAATCCTATGGACTGTAACCCACCAGGCTCCTCTGTCTACGGAATTCTCCAGGCAAGAATACTGGAGTGGGTTGCCATACCCTCCCCCAGGGAATCTTCCCGACCCAGGGATCAAACCCGGTTCTCTTATGTCTCCTGCATTGGCAGAAGAGTTCTTTACTACTAGCGCGCCCTGGGTAAAGCCAGAGGGTGATAGTAATAACAGTACAGTAGTAGTAGTAATAGTAGTCTCAATGGTGTCTGTCTCCAAAGCTAGCATCACCTGGGAGGGACCTGGGGGCCGTTCTGTTTCTTAACCAGCATCTGCTCTGGCTGGCCGGTGCCTGTTCCTCGTCAGTGTCAAATACTGTGACCGTTTCCTGTGCTGACCTCCATGTTTTGCCCTTGGATTAAATGAGTCAAGAAGTGCTGGGCATGTAGTAACCATCACATTATTTTCTCATTTATAATCACAGCACACACTGATTGAGGAATAAGGATGTGCCAGGCACTTTCTATCTATTTATTCCTTGTAACACTCTCCAGATGAGGAAAAGGAGGCAAGGAACCATTAGGTAGTTTGCTGTGAGCCCCTTGATTTCAAGAGGCAGAGATGGGGGTTGATCCTGGGGAGAGTGTGGCATCCCAGCCTGAACTCTTGACCAGCCTTCCAGCCAGCACCTCTGGAGCCCATCCTGGTTGCAAGGTTGGGGTTCAGGGTGGTCAGCCTGGGGCACGGATGGCGGGACAGTGTGGCAGGGCCGGGCGCCTGCCTGTCCTGCTCCCAGGTGCTCTCCAGCCCCATTCCCGCCCATGCTCTGCTGGTCATGCGGCTGCCTCTACCCCCCCCAAAGCCTTTGGCTGTTGAAGCCTCCTCCTTCCCAGTCTCTGCTCTATGTCCGGTATCTAGTTCACCCTACTGTGTGAGCACCCACTCTTATATTGTTTTCCTGGCAACACCCTGGACCTTTGCTGTGACCTTTGCTTTGGCAAAGAGGGGACCCAGGCTTAGAAAGGTGGAGCCACACACCCAGGGATGAGCGGCTGTGGGAGCAGTGCAGGACTTCAAACCTGAGGGGGCTTGTTTATAGGGAGGCTGGCCGGGCTTCCTGCCCGTCCCTGGCTTGTGAGAGAGGAGGGAGCTGACGTTCACGTCCAGAGGCCTGGGCAGATGGGCCATTTGCAGAAGGAGCTAGACAAAGCCCGGGCACCTCCCCAGCAGAGGCACAGCCTCTGGGGCCTTGCCCCCTGCCTGGGCACGCCTGGGGGCAGGGGCCCAGCTGTCTGCTCGCCCACCCCTCTCTCCCCCAGGGCTCACGCATGTGAGAGCAGACTCTGGGGGCTGCACGGGGGCTTGGGGGCTGGCAGGCTGGGACCCTCGGGAGTGTATCCATAGCAACCGGCTCTCTGAGGACTGGGTTCCCGTGGGGCCGAGGCTGCTGTCGGCTGGAGCGTGAAGCACTGAGGTTTCCGCCTCCCCCTCTATTTATGGGTGATAACAGCATCGCCCCAGCTCCAGCCCCTTGTGGGCAGACCCCGGCCCTCATCGACTCACCAGATTGCCACAGTGCCTCATGCTGCTCAGGGTGGGGGGCTAGACTGGGTGCTCACTTGCTGCACCTTACTTCAGGGCCAGCAGATGGCCGGGTTCAGGGGCTTGTCCAGGTGACAGCTCTGTCACCCCGATCAAGACTGGGGTGGCCTGGGGCATGGAGTCAAGAAGGCAGCCCAGACAGTGGCTCTGGGGGGTGCCTGCACGGGGTTGAACCCCCGTGCCGCTGCTGATCAGCACTCAAAACTGCTTTTCTGCATCCCTGAAGGGGAGCTTGCAGAGTCATTGTGAGTATCCGGAACAAACAGTGCCTGCACATAGTAGGTGCTCGGTAAGTGTCGGCTGCAGCCATGATCAGGAGATTCAGCAGTAGTGGCTGTCTCGCCCCTCTCCTTCCTTCTCCTCTCCTGTCTCCACATCCCCAGGTGTGTTCTCTTTCTGCCCTGGGCCCCTCTGAGGTTGCTCAGGGCCACGCTAGGGGAGGCAGCCCTGGCCAAGGCCCCAGGGCTCAGCTCCAGTTCTCCTGGGCTGGGCCTTGCAGAATGGGCTTATGTCCGAGAAGGTGCTTTGAATGCCAAGTTCTGCCTTTCTGTGGTTACGTCTCCTGGTGGGAGCTGAGGCTCCAGAGGAAGATGGGGTGTTTGAGGGATAGAGAAAGGGAGACGGGCCAAAAGAAGGTGTTGAGGTGAGGAAGGAGGGCCAGCCAGGGTTGCAGCAGGAGGGAGAGTCCTGATCCGGTCTCTCCAGCCCAGAGGACTGCACGGCCCCACCGGCTGCCTGATGTTCTGGACCCTGGGCATCCCTGACCTCATGTGCTTGGCTGGAAGGGCCATCTGTGGGGACAGCTGAGTGTGCAGCAAGCCTCACTGAGTGTTGGTGCTGGTGAACCCTTTTGTGTACAGGTGTGTGTATGCCTACGAGTGTGAGTGTGTATACCTATCTGTCTACATGTGTGTCTATGAGGGCTGGTGCACACCCTTGTGCCATGAGCTGCTTGTGAATCTGTGGGTTCATTTGGGAGTGGTAGGTGTGGCTGTCAGGGTCCGGCCCTGACAGCTTTCAGAGAGAACTGAAAGCCCATGTGTTATTGGGGATGCTGCGTGAACTTGGGGTCCATGAGGATGTTTCCAGTTCTCTGAAGATGTTGCACTTATGTGTCCATGTTACAGGGAGTGAGTTGGTGTGTGTGGTTGTGTGGTGTACCCCATGAATGTATCCATGAAGGTCTTGCGTGTTGGTGAGTTGGAATGAGGTGCACAGGATGCTTGCAAGTATGTGTGTATGTCCTCACATGCGTGTCTATGCCTGTGGATACAGGTCATGTATGTGTGTGTGTGTGTGTGTGTGTGTGTGTGTGTGTGTGTGTGTGTGTGTATCTGTGCATGTATGTGTGAATGCCCAGGCCCTTTGGTCAGCAGTTCCTGTGACCCCTCCGTTGAACATTTCTTGGAGCCTGCTTTCCCACAAGGCAGGGTTCATTCCTTTTCCTGACACCAAGGGGTGGCCATATGGTTGGGGGACATTTGGGGGGTACCCTCTTGTCCTGCCCAGGCTCCTGGTGACTTATCTTTCAAGCCCAGTGAGCCCACTTCACTCACCTTCCTTGAGGAGAAACAGCTCTTTTGGACCAGCCATGGCTGTGGCCTCTGGAAACTTCTAGCCAGGAGGTGGGGGCACCACGTTCCTTGTTCAGCAGTCTCCTCTGGGCTTCTTTGGTGTGGAGCTTCCTGGGCTGTGCTTCATTCTTGCATTTACTTGTTCATTCACTCATTCATTCAGTCAGTCATTCTTTAAGTGTCAAGGACAGACGCAGGCTGGGCAGAGTGGTGGGGGACACACGTGTGAGGAGATGAATGATTCTGATGATGGAGAATCTCAGGGTCCTTCTTTTCCATGAGCACAGACCAGGAGTTGAGCCAGGGTGGGATGTGCCCCTCAGAAGCCCTCAGTCCCTGCTATCTCTTCTGGCTTGAAATCTCCTCTGCCCATTGTGAGACTGACTCCAAAGTTCCGTCCCCCCCACCCCAGACTCACCCATTCTTCCCAGGGTGTGTCTATGATGAATGCCTGCTTCCAGGACCAGCACTATGGCTGCTCCGAGGACATGCTGAATGCCTAGTTCTCTGGAAACACCTAGGGCAAGGCCCTCTGGTCTCATCAGCGGGGCTCCTGGAGCCTGAGCAGGACCCTGCCCAGAGCCTGAAGCCCCCAGCACCAGCTCTTCCAGTTGGTTGTCCATTCATCTGTTCAACAGCCTCTTAGCAGTTGAGAGTCATGATGAAAGTCCAGTGCTTATTAGGTGAGCGCTCTGGGCAGGGCCCTGTGCAGGGTGGTGGGGGTCCAGGATCTCTAGTTACTGAGGGATGGCTTCTCTTTATCCCTTCTGCCCTAATAGAGGGCTTAGCACATATTATTTTGCAACTCGGCCCATCTGCTCAAAAATTCTTCCGAAGCGCGTGGTCTTTGCTGGGCCTCACAGGTGGACAGAACATATTCTGCGCTTGGGTTCTCATGGTGCAGTGGGAAGCAGACAAATCAACTGGCCATGACAAACTCTTTGGGGCCCAACTAGGTGGTTTCAGCACGAACTCAGGGGCCTGGGCAGACCCTAAACTCACTCTGGGTTGGGAAGAGAGGGCTTCTCAGAAGAAGTGACATTTGAACAGAGGCCTTGAGGATGGAGAGGGTATTCTGATGGAGGAGATAGCATCCCAGAGGTCCCAGAGGTGGGACCAGGCAAGTTCAGGTGGGGCTGAGACAACTGAGCCCCCTGGTGGTTCATCCTGGCCGTATCGTCCAGGGATGGGCCTCAGTGTTCAGCTGAAAAAGCCAGTCTTGCCTTCTTTTTCAGAAGTCAAGGGAGGCCCCATTATTCCAGGACACAAAGTGGTCTTCAGAAAACTTGGATACTGTGAATTCCTCTCCCTTCATAGAAACCCACAGTCACAGCCCTTCCCCCCACTTAGGAACAACACTACCTGTGTCCACAGTGGGCTGGTTTCACACTGTGGAGCTCCACTTTTTGGAACCAGTCTTCAAGAAGCTTTGAAACTTTTTATGTTCTCCATTTTTCTGTCCCCTCCCCACAAAAGTACTTGGTCATAGCTCCCTGTGTGTGGAAGCCAGCTCTAGGATGACGTGGGGCCTTATGTGTCTAGGGCAGGTGAAGAGTTCTTCAGTCACCCTTGAGTGTCAGAACTGATGGGAGCAGCCTCTCCTGCTTGTCCACTTGGTTTTTAGGGCAGGTACATAGTTAGATGCAAAGAGAGATGGATGCATAGATGGATGGATGGGTGTGTGTGTGTGTGTGTGAATGTGTGTGTAGATGGATAGATGGGTAAACTGGATAGGAAGGTGAATGAATGGGTAGATTGATGGATAGATGGATGGATGGATGGATAGATAAATGAATGGGTGTATGGATATATGTATGTGTGTTTAAATGGTTGAATGGGTAGGCAGGTTAGGTAGATGGACGGATGGGTAGATGGACAGCTAGTGTGTAGATGGATTGATGTGTAGACCAAGGGTAAGTCGATGGACAGGTGATGGGTAGACAGTTGAATAGATCTGTGGATCTGTTGAGTGGATGCAGCAAGCATAGATGAGTGGAAGATGGCTAGGTGAATCTGATCATGCTTCAGGCAGATCAGCCTGCCTCAGCTTCCTTTCCATGGTTCTTCCTGTGTGCCCTCACTTTGGGATGGTTCAGTTTCCCTAGGGCCAGCAGAGAAGCAGCTTCCTTCAAATGGAGCTTGTCACCCTGTTCCCTCTGTGAGGCTGACTCGAGGAGAATGGCCTGGAGAGAACTGGGAGCAGGTCAGAGCCATTTTAGGAAGTCTGGAGCCATGACCTCCAGGAACTTTGGGTTTCTGCTCTGTTCTGCATCCTGACTGTCTAACTCCTTTCCTTTTGGTTTCCATGCAGAAAAAGACATACCAGTGCATCAAGTGCCAGATGACCTTCGAGAATGAGAGAGAGATCCAAATCCACGTTGCCAACCACATGATTGGTAAGAGCGGGTTTCCTCCCACCTGGGCTGCAGCCACTCCTTGGGGCTGAAATGTGCGGGTCCGGTCATCATTTTGCTGGCTTTTAGCTCAAAGGATGGAGTCACTGCTGCTGAGACATTTCAAATGAGACTAAAAATGTCAGAGCTGGAGCATTTTCTCCATCCGGACCCTCTTTTCGCAGCTCCGTTCACATTAGAGTCAAACTTTTGACAATCTCTCCCATTTCTCAGCACAAATTTCCCTCCATTTCTGAACCAAAGTGCTTTCCAGTTGTCAGGCACTCAGGGGCAATTATGCTTCAATTTTGTATGTCATGACATCGAATAGATTTAACTGCTCACATTTCCCTACCAAACATGGGCAGTTCCTCAGGCACATTGTCAAAGCAGAATGCTTACAAAGTTATTTCGCTACTTTTTCTATTCCTCTTCAAGCAGTCTTGGACTTCGGAAAATTCAGCCTTTTTTTAAAAGGGAGCATCCAAGGTCCCATCGTGTTCCCTCTTGGCCCAAAGGATGGAGGGAAGCTTTGAGGTCTTCCTTGTCTTCTGTGGGTGGGTGTGATCTTACTAGCAGCTAGGAGGGCACAGCTATAAGAGGGCACAGCGATTTCTGGTGGCACAGGGCTGGCCTAGGGCGTGGGTTTGGCAGTAAGGACCTTGGGAGCTCCTGGAGTTTTGGTACTCTGGGTCTTTGGTGGAAGTGTGATCACCTTCTCCAAGACCTCCACAGTCTGAGTGGTGAGAGGTCCGTCCTGGGTTGAGCATCCTGACCCTTACTTCCTCTCCATTTTTTTTCTCTGACATCTTTTCATTAAAGTTTTAACAACAGCCATGCCAACCAAGTACTTTTTTCCAAAACCCTTGATCCCAGAGTTAAAAAAAGTCCCCTTCGCGCTGTTCACCTATAACCATCAAAACATTGTTAATCTGCTCTACCCCAATACAAAAATGTTTTTGGTGTTTAAAAAAAAAAATGTCCATTTAAATGTCCAACTCAGTGGATCCTCACAAACTGAGCACACCTGGGTAACCAACACCCAGGTAAAGACACAGACCACTCCCCAGTCTCAGAAAGCCCCCCTCGCGACCCTCTCCAGGTCCTTCCCCCAACAAAAGGGCGTCACCATCGTACTGTCTAACAGCAGAGGTCACTTGGGGTGGTTTTGCATTTTATATAAATGAGATCACACAGTCTCTGCTTATTTGTGTCTGGTGACTTTTACTTGTTCATATTATTGACTGGGATGGGATCTTCTCACTGGTGGATGCTATTCCGTTGTGTGAAGACGTCACCATTTATCTATTCTTGAAACACATCCTAATGGGCATCTGGGTAGTTTCCCTTGTGGAATTGTTCCACACAGTGTGCTGCTGTGAACCTTCTTGTGCGAGTCATTGGTGGACATTTACATGCAGTTTTCATGGGAATATTCTTGGACTCAGCCTGGGGCGTCATAGGATGTGAGTGGGTACCCTTTCAGTAGGTGCAGACAAATACATTTCCAAAGTGGTCACATGAAGTCTTGCTCCCACCCCAGCCTGTGAGAGTTGCATGTCTGTGCCATCATCTGCATTGTACATACCAAGAACCACTGCAAAGGTCCTTCTGTAGTGGAGCTCTGCTCAAGGTGGCTACGGTGTCCGGGTCCCCGCCAGGCTCAGTGAGTTTGGATGCCTAGCATCCCAGTGGCTGACTCGGGGCAGGTGTCCTGAAGGTACTGACCCTAACTGGGTGCCTGGTGGGGCTCCCTCAATGACGAGGGGACATGAGGAGCACAGGGGTGGCAGGTAGGGCCCTGGGAGTTCGGCCTGACAGGGAGACTGCTGACTTTTTAATTTCTTCTGATTGAAAGTCCCCCCCGCTGAAGCAGAGGAAGGAAACCGCCCTGTCAGTCACAGGCTGCCGAGAGCGCTTTCACGGCGGTGTCGGGGAGGTGAAGATGAAGATATCTCAAAATGTTTGCTTTTGCAGCAGGTGTTAATGTGTGCTCCTGTTTGTAAGCACGAAGGGCGAGAGGCTGGCTAATTGGACCACAGTGGTTTCAAAGGTGTCTCTCCCTGCTCCTCTCTCCCTTCCACCTTTCCTTTTCGCGCAGAGCTGGGAAGCTGCAGTGTCCTCAGGTGGAAGGCGAGGGCCGGCGCTTCACTGGAATGGTGGGAGATGGGAGGGGAGGGTTGATTGGCACTCGTGGGAGAGAGGGGCTTGATTGGCACCCGGGTCTTTGTGTGAGCGGGGGGCGGGGCTCCGGCGGGAGGAAGTGGCCGGACGGGGCCCCTCCCCTGAGCCCGCGCAGTGCGATGAGCCGGCCTGTTCTCGGGCCTCGTGGAGCGTGGGGTCCTGGCGGCCGGCAGCAAGGAGCTGTTGGTCTCAGAGCCCAGGCGTCCGGGCAAGACGTTTATGCGACTGCACAAAGTCTCATAGGCAGGCCCGTGGCGCATGGCCGTGAGGAAGGGGCTAGGGCCCCGCTGGCGCCACACCCCTGGTGGCGGTCTTCTTACTCTGCCCGGCCCTCCCCACCTGCCCGCCCTTCACTGGCTTCGTCACCTCCATCCATCAAGGGACAGCAAGCACCCGCTGCACGTGGAGACCTGGGGTGGTCCCTGGGGCGACAGGGTGAAGGGGACTCAGGCCGTGCCCTCAGACCTCCCAGCGCCCCACCGAAGCCCTCACAGGCCACGCCCTGCGGGGCGCAGGGAGGTCACCTGGGTGAGGGTGCTCACAGCTGCCTGTACTGAGCCCCCAGAGGGAGGGCTGTACGCAGCTGCTAGTTCTGCACCTCGCAGAGCGGGGGTTAATGGCAGAGCCAGGGTCTCCGTAAAAGCCAGGCTCTCTACACTGTGCATGGCTCCCTGCCAGGGCCTGTGGTGGGAGAGACACAGCCCTGCCTTCAGGGTTTCTCTGCCCACTGGGGAGGCTGACAGGTGTCCAGGTAAGCACTGTGCAGTGAGGTTGATGCTCCTGGAACAGGGACTGCTGGGTCCAAGTAGGTCCGTCAGGAAGGCCAGGGTTTTGAAGGATGAAGAGGAGTTTTCTGTGGTTTAGGGCCATTGCTGGCAGGGGCAGCCGTCTTGGCAGGGAAGGGCAATCACAGAGAGCAGGGCCCTCAGAGAGCTGATTGTAACGAGGAGGCAGGTCCTTGAAGGATGGGTGTTGTTAGGCTGAGAAGGTGGGAAACAGCAACTGGGGGAGGACCCTGAGTGAGCAGAGCTCAGAGACAAGAGCAGAGGAGGTGACTGGGGGACGGGGGACCCCGACCTGGCCAGGATGGAGGCATCGCATGTGGTAGCATCATGGGCAGTGAAGGTGGGGAGGTGGTATGGGGCTGGACCATGAAGGACCTTGAAAGCCAGATTAAGGGATTTGGATTTGGATTGACTTCATGGGCTGGGGTCCCAATCTGTGGGTCCCTTAGCAGATGCTTTATTTGATTTCTGTTGAAAAAGCAAAAGAGGTGGCAGACAGGGCCCACATTCCCGCACGAGCTGGGCAGTACTGGGACTGTGTGTTCTCAGGCTCCTCTGGGCCACCAGTCCCTATTGTGATTTGGGAGGGTACTTTGCTCATCTGTGTCCCCTGCCTGGTTCCTATAGACACATGAGTGTGTGACCTTGGGCTTACCCACTAGGGAGCCATTGATGGTTTTGGAGCAGAGTGTGGCCTAGAGCAGCTGGGTGGTTTAGGGAGGCCCAGGGGGGAAAACGTGGAATGAGGCAACACGGTATCGACAGCTACGTGGAAAGGTATCAGAACACGGTTTAATGAAATCCTTGAAAAAGCAAGCCAACAAACAGAAAACAACCGTAAAATTCATCAGAAGAAAAGTAATAGACTCTGATGAAGATGACGAATATTGAATTTAGGACGTCTGGAGACTGGAACTTAATGGAATGATTCTAGCACAGATAATACTTGGCAGAAGTTAAGATCTGATGGAGTGTTTACTTTATTATTGTCTCTATGCCTTTAAAAAATAAACTTGTTATGCAAAAACAGAGACCTGCCCGGTCTGATCCAGGGGTCAGGGGATGAGGCAGGGAGAGAAGGCAGGCCATAGGCCATCCATTTGGCCTGTGCTGTGGGCCTGTGGGCCCTGGTGGTTTGGGGAAGGTGGTGGGGATGACGGTGGGAGGTGTGAATGCAAGAGAAGCAGGCCCGGGAGCTCTGGGTGGGGGCTGGCACGGCAGAGCTGGTAAAAACTGCCCAGTGTCCCTGAGGACAGCTTCCCCCTGCCAAATGACCCGAGCCCAGAGAGGCTGCCTGGAGTCAGCGGGGGTAAAAGCCCCCTTATTGGCACCAAGGGGACTCGGCAGATAGACGTGAGGCTGTTCAGCTCGGTGGCCTTCTCATCAACTTGGGGCACGGGGGGTCTGAGGCAGGCCTCCCTGGGGACCTGGACTGCGGGAGCCCTCCCCCACGGGACGCTAAACTGGCCTTTTTATAGCGGGGGGCCGCATCGTGACTTTGCAGCCTCCAGACCCTGGGAGTTATGATGACCCAGGGACACGTCTCCTTGGAAACATTTTCCCAGCACCCCTCTCCTGGCGGCTGCTGGCGAGGGAGTGATTTGGAGCTGATAGAAAGGCAAGGGTCTTTTGAAACCTTTCAGCGGCAGGGTCTCCTTTGAAATCCCCCCTCCCCACAGAGAATGAGGCCCCCTTCTCTGGGCTTCCTTGCTTTTGAAATGGTTTTAGACACCCCCTCCCCCAGGAGGCACATCAAAACCTTGGAGCAGTCCACCCCTCTGATCTGCGGCTTCCTGGAGGGGTCCGTCCCTTCCCCACCTCCCACTGCACTCGGGCCCCACCCCCCCACCTGCTGCCAGTGACCCCCTTCCCACCCTCACCCCACACTCTGGAAGGATTGCCTCCCCCCTGGCAAATGGCTCTGCAGGAGGCCCTGCTTTGGGCTCCCTGGGGCCTGCTGAGGGGAGAGCTGAGGAGGGTTTGTGGCGGGCCTGGCCCAGATGAGTGTCTCCCCATGTGTGTTGGACATGTATG